GTGGTCCTGTCCACCATTAAAACCATCTTTCCAAGCAGCCTCTATGTCTCCAGTGTCTTTTTCCCCATTTGGAGCCGAACCCAGAAGGACGTTTCTTTCATCAGAACAAAGTGGAACAGCATAGAAGATAAGAGTCTTTAATCTTCAATGAAGATGCCTTACACAATGCATTTCTACTATGAGATAACTATGGAGAGCCTGGTGCTTGCTCAGCTTTGTTGCTTGCAAACATCTGCAAGCACACCACGAAGCTCAGACAACACCAAGGACTCCACAATTCAACCCTGAGCTATCTATATCCTCTTCAATTGGTGCTGTGAATTAAACATGATTTTGGAAAGGCTGTTTTCACCTGGAGCTAATCCATTGTTTTTCACAGGCGTAATTATATCAGTCTGTTGCAACAAGCTTCGGTAATCTAAGGACCACTTCATCAGATATACTTCATCAGATATTATCTGAGATCAACACATAATGTGTGGTTGTCCTCCAAAATAATTGTAGAAGACAGCAGGTTATACGTAGTGTAGAGTATGTAGCTATTTGTTCAAACAATTATATAAATTATGCTGATATTTTCTAACTCATGTAGAAGCCTACACAACATAATCTGTAATATTAGTATTTATTTTAATAGGCGTACAATTCAAAACAGATTTTCTTTTAAACAACACCACTGCTTTTAAAACATTTTTTTGCAAAGTTTGAACAGAAGGGAATGAACAAATCCCTTCCTTTCTTCCATCCTGATCACCAAACATAATTCAAAATGCTTTCTGAAATAATATTTCAATTTCCCTAAGATTAGTTCTTCTAAATAGTACATCTGGTAGTATTAAAAAAAATATCTCTGATGAAACTGCAATGTTAGATATGTTTGGAAGTTTCAGTTTGGGGATAACATTGTAATCATTTTAATTTACTTCCACCTTATCACATAAAACTGTTAAATAGGAAACACTTGACAAATAAAATGAGAAATAGCGCTCTCTATATTGGTTCAAACACCATTGACCATATTACTTTTAGAAATACATGCATATGGCTTCTTCTCATGTTTATATAAGAACTGGGAAATTAGGGCGCATATTACATTAAGGAAACAATTACACAAATAAAATCTTCCTAGAACTGCATGTTAAGTTCACTTTTTTTTTTGCAATTGTTAAAACATGAATGATATACTTGATGAACATCTAGCATCAGATTTAGTAGCCATTGATAGATTAATTTGTAACCGACTTCTCTGAATTAAACTATCAATGGCTACTAAATATGAC